TCTGGGATTATTTATTCAGACTTAACCTGTCAGATCAAATGACATTTCATAATGGTGAAAATTGCTTTGTATCAAGAGTTTGTGTATGATCAAAACCGTTCCACAACAAAAGATCTTGTCTTTGACTGTTTTGCCACAGACCCTAATAATTTTTACAACGTAAATTCAGGCGGTATGTAAATAATATTGTGCATATGTAATTGTAAAAGTGTTGTTGAAGTCAATGACGACGCAATTCATTTCGCAAATTTATTTTCCTGGAAGAGTTGTGTTGTAATATTCCGCCTAATCTGGCATATACAGTAAAACCTGTCAAAACCGACCATGACTGGGACTGGGATCTATGGTCGGTTTTCAGAGGGAGTCGGTTTATTCAGGGTGGGCGTGACTTTGGTTGAAACAACAATTACATGTGCTGTAAACACGGGACAAATGAAAGACATCGGAGATTGTCTCCGGTGATTCTACATGTATTTACAATGTGCATTTATTGTATTGTTTCAATAAAATAATTTACCAAACAAGACAAAAATATTATGGTATGTACATGACATCAATTAACATTAAAATAACTATTCGAACAGACCGGGTAAGTATTGCGTATCGTAACTGAAGGCGTCCATTTTGGATGACATCACTATGTAAGTTCACGTGAGCTACATCTAATTATCATAATTTATGCAGACAGTCGATTTTGCTGTTAAGTCAATCACAGTCCCTCAACTGTGAGTCAATGAATCAAATTATGATGTAAAAAAATCATCAAGTTTTGACTACTTTAAAGAACATCTTTTTTTCAACGATTTTGTTTTCCGTTCGAATTATGAAATTTTGGATATCTGTCAAGTAACTGGAGTCTTTGTTCTGTAATCTTGTCAACATGTCTAGCACATCGCCATGCGTCAAGTCACTGTCGTTGTGGGGGTCAATAATTTGACTGTCGTTGCAATTTATGTCATTGTTGTCTATAGATTCATGGTTTTCTTTGTCTGCAATAAAATTCTCAACAATCTGTTGCTCCCACTCGCCATCATACATTGCTTCAGTCAGTATACGTTCATCAAAGTGGAGGTATTCTACAACGCTACACTGTGTTTGCGGGTCTGCAACTTGCTAAATAAGGTTTCCGAATTCTTTGTTGTCGTCTGCTTCTTCGTCATCATAAATTTCAATCTTGAAGCCCCCTTTACGGAAACATTCGAAAGCACAAAATTGTCGATCAGAATTGTTATGGAAAGAAGAAAACTCAATGTCTTTTGAGCGTTGAAGAAGTGATAATGCAGTGTGCTTCACCGCAATTGAAGGTGATGACCCCGATCATTTGTTTATATCCGGGGTCATTATACAGACACCACGCGATGCGTGGGCGTGTGGTGTGAAAAATGTAATCAGTTGCCATTGTTTTACACGGGACGTTACTTGTAGTGTGAGATTTGGTATTGTTTCTGTGACGTTTGCGGAATTTGGACACAATGCACACTTTTTAGGCCAGGCAGACCGAATTACTAGACAGCGGATGTGGTGCAACTGGTCGGATGGTTGATGTATTCAGTGTGAATATTGGACTTCGGACCGATCAATGCGATCGGTGTTCGGAGTAAACAGTGGTCGGATTTCACAGGTTGTTTTAACATAGGCGTCTATGGAGAAATTTCGGGGCTACATAAATTGGTCGGTTCTGACAGTAGGTCGGTTTATCCAGGGGTCGGTTTTGACAGGTTTTACTGTAATGAACAATAATCATTTGGTTAATTTTTCAAGGGAATAAAATGGAAACAACGTTAAAAAAAAATTATTCAACTTTTTTGAGGTGGTCTTTGGGTATACACCCACCACTGTTGGAATAAATAAACAAAAATAAAATGCAGTAAAGTACATACAGTAAATGCATGAAGCTCAAGAATCAGTAACACAAATTAAGAATTCAGTAAATTGTATTCTAGGGTACTAGAACATTGTTGTCGTTGTCACTGGCTTTTGTGACTTACTGGACTTCACAGGAACAGGCAATGACAAGTTTCTATAGTTACGTAAGCGCACTGTTGTTGTTATTATTATGTAAATCATGAGTGTTTTAATTAGGACAATTCCATGTAAACAAATAAATAGAAAGTGTAAGTGTAATTGCATTCATTCAAAGCAAGAACAGCTATCAACCAGAGTTTAAAACATAGTATTATTAGAATTCAGCAAATTATATTCATTTTTATACATGAATTTAATTTAACTTTTCGAGTTATGCTCCAGTCAATGTCAACTCCGACCCCTCCCACCTCGGGCGATACAGGACAAATGTGGGGCATTAGACAGGGTTTACCGCCAAACTGTGCCCGTGGAGGTGGGGTAATAGCCGTGTTTCGTGTCCCGTCATCGCTAGCATCGCTAGTACTCTGCTGATAGCAAGCATCTTGCCCTAGGAGGTGGGCATTTCGCAAATTTTACAACAATAATTTCCAAATCCCCCACTAAACCCCGAGGTGGGGAGGGTAGGGGTTGACATTGACTGGAGCATTATTTTAACTCAAAACTATCGCGTATTATACTAGTAGTTTTGCAATATGCATATAGCATAGTGTATTTTACATAACGCTATTATGTTATATGTTATTCATGTGTTGTTACCTACTATGACTTACTATGGTGCACACATAGACTGACTGACCTTCCCAAATGAGAGTGGTACACTGGGTACTTATAGTATCTATTTTCATTTCTGTCGGCCATCAGACAGTCTGCTGGGGGTACAGTCACTTCGCCCAAAATACACTTCGCCCGAACTCTTTCGCCTGATTACCAGTTCGCCAGTTTTCCTTTTCGCCTGATTTATTGATGTTACACACTAGGCCTACTGGGGGTTTCGATTCGAAATGTACATCTGGTAAAATGCATAAAATCGACCATATGATCGCATTTTAGTCAGGGTTTTCTTGCCGATGCAAACACTGCAACTGATGTCCGCCAATGCGGGTAATCATCCCCATTCACAATGGAGGGGTGGCCGACAGGCAATGGGACAGGTATGCATCGGCCGTCATACACAGATTTTTCACTTGTTTCACCATCGGTGTTTGAATAAAATACTTTCACAGTGGTGTCGTTGGCAGAATAATTTTAATCCGCGCATTTTATGCAAAGATTGACCATTGACGGAACCTTTGTACGCCCTCCGGTGTTGGGAACTTGGAACACTAAGTACCAGTAGTACCTAAAGCCAACCTCAGCGTTTATCAATCTAATAAAACTCGCAAATCACGACGTCGTTACCGTATTTTTAAAGTTTTAAATACAATTTATATAGTACCAATAATATATTATTTCCTCTTTTTTTACTGTCAGATTTTACAGTCGATTCACGCTAATTTATTTTAAATTTCGACCATACTTTTAAATTGAAATAGAAACACAACATTGTATATAATTAATATAGTATTAGGGCCCGATTTACGCTAATTTATTTTAAATTTCGACCATACTTTGAAATTTCGACTTCTACGTTATCTTGTTTTGACTACACGTAAATACCAAACATACAAGGAATCAGGAGAAACTGGTAATCGGGCGAAATGGTAATCGGGCGAAATGGCAATCGGTCGATTGTCCGCCCCAATAGTATATTAATTGTATACATATTCTGTACAAAAAGTATACTTTTTTGAAATTGTGTACATTATTTGTATACAAAATTCGTACATACAAGAAAACAGCAGTACATTATTTGTATGCACACTTTATACAAATTCATTAATGTATATTTGTTGTATACTAGAAATGTACAGATTTTTTGCATAGGATTCAATGCCTAAATATTGTATAATTTACATATACATAAAATGTACAATATCATGACTAAGAAATAAAGAGTAACCAAAAAAATTTATGTTAGAATCATGTCAGAATGAAGTATAATTTATGTATACATTAATTGTACAAATTATTGACTTGGCATCTTGACAAATATTAGTATTATTTATGTATACATAAACTGTACACAAATAGGGAATTTAATATTCAATTAAATTCATAAGAGAGAATGAAAATATTTTTATTTGATTAATTACAGGAATACTAAACTATATTTTTGGATATCAGTAAAATTATATTTTTACTACAGTTTACTGAAAGAATTCAGTCATTATAAGAAGAGTGTATAACACATTCCCACGAGAGTTGTTTAGAGTTTGCCTAATTTGCATATATTAAAAATTAACCTGTTTTGGATCCTAACATGACTTATTGCCAATTTTTATGAACTTTTTTTTGATCAATTTAACTAAATTAAAATTTAATTTTCCATTATATATCTAGTTTTGGCATTTTTAGTTGAGGAAAATACAATGAAATAAATCAGTATTACTCTCACCACAATCAGTTTGTTGTACATCCTTGGCTGACATGTATGTCAAACAGATACATA